GATGCCTGATTGGCTTCAATGCCAGATGCTTGTCCGGACACATCGCCTTTCTCAATGTCGCGAGCCTCGGTCGGGCGGTACTGAATACGCGAAAGGCCACGCAATTGAAAGGTCAGGGGTCCAGCAGCCGAACGTTGAATGCATCCGTGGAAAGGACGTGGATAGAGTGGCCCTCTCAAACCAGCAATCAACAAACAGCAATGCAGTTCCAGCGTGCACGCTCCAAACCCCCACTGCAAGCCTGCGAATCCACCCAGCGGCCAAGAAGCACTTCAGCCGAGACGAAGTCATCTGTAGGGGATGCTTCGCATGGCGGCCTGCATGGGTAACACGTCCAACACCCGACCAAATGTTGAACATCGCGATGTGCAATCCAGCCTCTCTTCTGCGAGAACCTGGCATGAAAGCTGAGAGCTGCCACGAAGCTTCCCCCAGACCGTTACTGCTGTTTTGCTGCAGAGATGACTTGTTGATGGATACTCCTCCTTACCTTGCATTGTTGACTGTCGGTCCTTCGCCTCGACATCCGTCCACATGATTGATCTCCGTCCGAAGAACTAGCGGTAACTAGCGTCTGAAAAGATCGGCAAAGAATTGTGCCGCTCATCGCAGCACCCAGCTACGGATAGGGGCTGCATTTCCGGCTCTGACTCGAACACGAGCCAGGCCAACGAGAGCCTTGCTCGCTGTTGTCTCCTGACTCATATCCTCTATTTTCTCGGGCCACCTGGCCCGATACAGTAGAAGGCTCCTGCGAAACAGCTTTTGTTACTTAGTACTTGAATGCTGCCTCAGAACCCGAAGGCTCGCAGGGGTAAGTGATAGTAAGTGTATGCTCAGAACTCTACCCGCACGCACTTCTAGTAATCTAGTCCACCACTCACTGGGATCGCCGGATTGCAGCACTAGTTTCTGAGTTTATTGTTAAGGGGATGCTGCGACCTACGAAAGGCAAATCACTCAGAAACCCTCCCTTTTGTTTGCATGCCAAACATGTCCGTAAGCTTCAAGAATGCTATGCAAGACCATGGTCTCCGGTGAAGGGCCACTGTCGGGCTGCGGCTCTTGAAGCGGCAAGAGCATGCAGGGCATTGGTGAGCCCAATCACAGTCTCACCCTGGAAGCTCGCGAAGCTTTGCCGACTGTCGAGCATCCCAGCCACAACCCACACAGCCACTGCTAAGTCCAACACGAAATTCGCCACTTTGATCTGATCTCTCTCTCTCTCTGAGCGGGTCGCCCACTGTCTTCCGCCCAGCTTCCTCACAGAGCCATCCTGCCACATCTCCACAAAACCCTGTGAAGCTGTGATTGGAGCTTCGGTGCCACGGTTGCCGGTTACCGCAAGGAAAACAGCTCGTGCAAATAAGTCGCAAGACGAAACTTGACTCCATGACTCCAAGGGTCAGGCATTGGCGTACCCCCATAGCGCGGTCGGATCGGCCGGAAACCTCGCCGGCATGTCAGCTCTGCTTCCCAAACCCTCAGCTTACATCGAACGAAACACTTGAGACAGGCTTGAGATGCTGACGTATCTGGGCTAATTGTAGGATCCGGCTGGAGACCTGGCAGTTGTTGGATAGCACTTCGTCTGCTGGCATTTCTGATGGAACCTGCGGCGTACTTTGATTGTGCTGCTATCGATGTATGGTCTGCTTGATTGTTCGCATGTTTGCCCGTCCGATTGCGTGCTGCAGCTGTGAGCGTGCGCCCACGCGTGCCCCATCTGGGTGCGCGGGTGCAAATGCTCCGCAAGATCCAGTGGCCCATATGCCTCGAGATGTGCAGCATACGGCCATGGTGCAAACAAAAGCCAGAACTGAGGCTATTATTGTGAAACCAAAACGAAAAAAATAAGAGATACTGCGAGGTATGGTGCTCGCAAGAACCAAGAGGTAGCAACGGGATCTAGACTACATATTATTACTGTCCAAATTTGCCTCGGCCCCGGCCGAACTCCCCACTCCCCAATGATCCACGCTCAAAGGGGCACCCCCCCACCAAAAAAAAGGAATGTTGGCTTCCAAGCCCCCCCGTGACCATTCGTCGTGATCTTGTTGGGCCCGGCGCCCGTGGCCGGGCCGAGGTAGAAAGCGCAAAGCGCTTTCAAGTACCACTACACATGAGACTATGACAATCATGTACTATACTCTCTTTTAATTTTTGGGGAACATGACGCGAAATGATATGTCCAGATGCTCCAAGTCTGTGTATTCGTGCAATCGTTGTTGTTGTTGTTGCTGCTGCTGCTGCTGCTGCTTCTTGCTTCTTGCTTGCCTCGCCTTGAGAACTGCGTGATGTTGTGGCTTGGCGGGCTGGCTGGGTGTGTCGATGGGCATGTCTGCTTCTGTTTGGCTGATCCGGCGGCCCGGCGGTTGTTTGCAGACTTTTGCATGCTTTGTCTATACGTGTTGTGTGTCCTGCATAGCACATCTGCCCGGCATGCGGGTGTGTGTGTGCGTGTGTGCGTGTGCGAGTGCATATGGGCGTGCGGGTGTGGGTGTGTGGGCGTATGGGGGTGTGGCTGTCTCTGTGTGTGCGTGTGAGTGTTTGTTTGTTCGACTGCAGGATTTCTTGGTCACGTCTTGTGTGCGTGCGGGCAAACTTGTTTGTAGTGAGCTTGCTGGCATCTCCGCAGGCTGGTGGCTTTTTTGGGCTTTGCGTCCAAACCAACAAACGCATGAACTGCCAAATTGAATCTCTGCCCGGCCGTCGAAGTCCGATTCGGTGCCGCCGGGTCCCTTGCGCGCTGCAAGCTCGGACAGATCAAGATCGATTGCTTGAACAATACCAGCATCACATTCAGAATCGAAGCTTCGGGCTTGTGCATTCAACATCTGACAAACCTGCAAGCAAACGAACAATACCAGAACCCTGCAAAACAGCAGTCTCGAAACGCCTGCAACGCCCAGAACAACCCCACGCTCCCTAAAGATTGCTAAGCCCCACTATAAGCCCTAGCAGATCCTAGCAGGATCTAGCAGGCCCTAGTAGCCTTACTAGTGCTATATACGGGCATGCTTTGTTTTGCCTCTATGTACCATGATGAAAACCCGGTTTGAGGGGCCCCCTTTGGCCTCTCCCAGAAGGTATCACCTCTTTGCTTCTACTCTCTCTGCATCAAATGCAACTCCCACCTCAGAGAATGGCGACAGAATAGCTTCCAGGCCCTTCACCCTGCGAACCACAGCATGCACCAGCTGGTCATTGCCCGTCATACATGCCGTCAACAAGTGCAAATCTGCATGTCGCAGGGCCTTGCAGATGAAATCGCCTCCGAACGTCCACAACCCCAAAATGCACATGGACAATCTTTTGGACATATTGGCACTTGGAGATACTTGGAGCCCCAACTCCTGTTCCCCAAGCAGCAGGAAGCTGTGAGGCCAGGTCGGCCCACCAAGCTGGATCCTACCCGGGCCACTTACACTGACCACATTGCAGGACTCTGAAGCAATCCTGAGGCGGCCATGGTACCGGGGAAGGCCTTAGAACCATGTGCAAGAGGCTAATGGCACCTGGGGCAACATCAGTGAGTTGAGCACAAGACCAGTCTTCCACTGGCAACTCGTCCGTGTTCCTTGGAGTGCGGATGCACGCGGCGACACACTCACGGATCACGAGGAGATTGAAGCCGGTTCCGTCCCAGCATCAAGAGTCAGAGTGATAGCTAGTGTGTTCGTGTCATGGAAAAGCAGGTGACCTAATGGTCTTCACGCGATGGCATGCCTGCCGTGTAAGTCACCCCCCCTTTGCTCCTACTCGTATGGTGGCACTGAGTCCCTTGCCAACCTTCTGGCAGGTCTGTCCTGGGCACAGTGTGTGAGACAAGGGCAGCGGGGTCATGGCTGGGCACCCGGCCAGTTGGGAGATCTCCACTCCCTGAGCCCAACCCGGACACGCCCTTGCGTGAGAGTGAAAGCCGAGGCCGGAGCTGGTTTTGTTGGATTTCTGCTGGGGTCCTTAAGAACGCGAAAAAGGGAGCCGAGGGAGCCGCCTCACGGCCCCGGCTTGGGCTTGGGCTTGGGCTTGGAGTCGACGTTGCTCGTGTCCGAGTCCTCGAGCGTTAAAGTGCTCCGCAATGCTCCGCATGACGCGACGGCACGGAGTCTCAGCCCGTTGCCTCCTTGTGGCCTTTGCTTCGCCTTCCTTGGTCTCGAATTCTCCCGGCGCCGAGCCATCAAAATCACGAGATCCCGGCGGTGGAAGTCTTTATCCTCACCGCTCGGGAAGCTGAAACACATACTGACTAATGGCATTGCTTCAGTTGCAGTATCCTGGTGGCCCTTTCCTCGACCTTTGGGCCTCGCACAGGCGATCGCGGCAGCAGCCACGCAGCATTGACCACAAAGCGGGAAAACATTGAACATTTGTCTAGACAGGGCCGGACCAGGCCCTGGCGGACATGCCCGGAATCTTGCCTGAGTGCAACGAACCCACCTGCGTCGCACTTTGAACATGCAATGCCATAGAAACAACACTTTAAGGCAACAGCAGGCAAGCCAAAAGGGACTGAATCATTGATTCAACTTTGATCTGGAAACTGCGGAAACCACTCCACTTAGGACCTCTTGGATCATTGGATCTTGTTCGAGAGAGGGCGAGAGAGAGAGACGCAGAGAAAGAGAAGACGGACAGAGACAGAGACAGAGAGAGAGAGAGAGAGAGAGAGAGAGAGGAGAGAGAGAGCAGGAGAAACGGACAGCCAGACAAGCCGACAAATCGCACGTAGTTTTCGTGAACATCCAAGCAGCTCAGGACAATACTTGCGGCCGAGCTATCTTTTTCGGAGCGAATCCACACTGCCCACCACCAGAACATGCTCTAAACGGTCGTGGTCGTGGGTTCAACTTAACTTGACATAACTTGACCCAACGCTGCTCCCACTTCGCGTAGCAGCGCTCGGTCAATAAAAGCCAGCCCGAGTTCCAAGCGATCTCAGGCATCAAGCCGTTTCTCACACCGAAATCTTTTGTCGAGCTGCACGCGAGCTGCAGTCCCTAAGACCTTGGCTGATTTATGTGGACCATGAGTGCAGCGTGACAGCAGCCGAGGGCGCTGCGAAGTGTGTTGCCGCTGTCCGACGGGCAAGGCTGCCTTGAAGTTGCAACGCTGAACATGTATGGTCAGGCGTCTGGCGTTCCCAGCCCCCCCTTGTCGATTCGAAGCCTTCTACCTCTACCTAAACCCCAAACTCAAAAGCTTAAGCTAAGCCATAAACCCCAAAGCCCCACAACCCCCCCACAGGGGGAACATGGACCCCACACCCCACCCCACAGGGGGGGGCATCTTGGACCATGGACTATTGACCATCTGATCCACCCGTGCCCCAATCTGTACTCACTGCCGGTATGGCCTGCTTTGGGCTGAGATTTTGCGAGAAGGACTTCGTCAGATGTGGCTTGGGCTTGAGGTCTTCTGCCGCGACTTCCACGCAGATGTCTTCCAAGCCTGGTCGCAAGTTTCACGGACATGGAACTGCAGGAGCCGCGATCAAGTTCATGAAGGCTACAAGTCGACGATGGATTGTGGCCGGCGGAGCACAACTTGCTCCGATTTTGCGAAATGCCTGGACCAAGTAACGTTGTCCGAAGACACTCGTCGCGCAAACTCCTTGCAGCTGCGCTGGCTCGGTAGCAGGTAGGTGCCTCGCAAATAAAAAACTTGCAAAATGCAACAAGGCTTTGTACAGACGAACTCATACAGGGTCAAGCGATTTCAAGAGAGTTCAGCCTGCAACGGCAGCAGCTGCGTGACGAAATGCCACTCTTCAAAGCAATCCTCGAGTACAGTACAGGTATGCAGGGGTGGCTATTAGAACCATTCCTCGTGGTACTGACACGACCCTCAAGCTGGGGCCGACACGAGGCGAAAGCCCATGCCAAGGCCGAGCAACAGTATCAACACTACTTGGAAGATGTGCCGCCCTCTGCGAAAACACTTGCCTCAGTACCTTTACCTTTGCACACCGCCAGTTTACGTTTCCTTCGTTGTCAGCCATCGGTTTGCAAATCTTTGTGGTCGACTACGCCTACCGCCTAGGCCTACGCCGTGCACCCTGCAAACTCTGACCACGAGCATGGCAATGATTTGAAAAAATACATCCCCTAGTCGATAGGTAACCAACCACGAAGATCATCACCAACACACAGCGAGGACTGTACATGTTCACACACGCGCGCAAACACCCACACTACTCATACTACACACACAAAACGAAAAAGATGAAACATGCAAACGCTCTCCCACCCCAATACCCACCCGGATCCACCTAATGCCCACCCACCCACCCAACCCCACCTCCCCCACACACACTCACACCCACACCCATCCACACCCCCACATCGCCCCACCCACCCACCCACCCACCCTGTCCACGCACGAATGCCCCCGCGCCCGCCCGCAACTGAAGCGCGACCAGGAAGCAACATCAGCATGAACAGTGAGATAACGAAAGCGGCCTCAGTCAAGCTGGCAGACTGCAAGAGGCTGTAAAATGAGCTCACAAGCTGATCGTGTGTTGCATAATCGCAGCTGGTTCTCGCCACAGCAAATCACAACGCCGTAGACCCATATCATCAGCTCTCCTCCAACGTCCAGCGAATCCTGAGCTGCGGGATGGGACGTCGTGGTTGGCAAACATGCACTGGTGTCGTGCCCATACACCACATGCACGGGGTAGGCTCCCACTCCAGTAATCGCAACTGCCGTTGCTCTGCCTCCTGCGCAGCACCTTCCAGCACAGCCTGGCAATTGCAAGGATCGACTTGTAAAGCGCCCAACCCAAGTCCAATCTACGCCGTTTGGATGCCAAACATCGACGAAACCACAGGCATTCGATGTCTGAGTTCGTGAATAAAACACGTCATGTTCCCCGAGACTCGACCCTCTCCCTGCAACAGAGCCGCTTCGTACAGCATGGACTGCATTTCATACTTGTCCCTGTAGTATGTCTCGTTCCACCTCCACACCTCCGATGAAATCAGCAACCAATGTGGTTCACCCTTTGCTATCTGCCGGCATCAGGATCAAGTGCGCAATTCAATTACGCACCGACGGCGGCAGCGCAAACGCTGAAGGAAGCTTTTCAGGAAACTTGAACCGCCTCCCCTGTTGGTTGCTCTTTCTTGTTTTGGTGCAGTCGCAGAGGCGCGCCACTAATTGCCAGGTTGGTAGCGCCAGCTATACACCTGAAACGCACGATTCCTGATTCTTCGCAACCCATGCCTCCGGCAACTTGGCCAACAGGAAGGGAAAATTCGCACGAACCCCCAAATGCACGTCAGTGTTTCGAATCGTACAAACGGTCCGAACGATGAAGGAAACCTGCCAGGGCATTTGATGTATGGACAGTTGCAACAGTCGTGATCAACGATTGCTTTCATGCTTGGCCTGCATTGTCGCGCGGTGAGTCGAGTCAATGTTGCCCATCGCACTGTTAATCACGACCCCCAGCCCGGCGGTCACCAATGGCTGCCAATTTCTGACAACAATATACTCCAAGACCATGCCAGCCACGGAAGACGGCGGAACCAACACTTCATCACGTAAGCTGCCTTCCAGAAAACTTTCGTCCTGCAGACGAGCATCCACATCAAGCCGGTGTATCTTGTATGGTGCATCTGTCGGGTTGCAAAGCTGGCTTGCAAGCGTTTGCTTCGTCCTTGGATACAGGTCAGCACTTGCAATCAAAAGTGACACCGGCAACTGGGCCATGTGAGCATCCGAGCCACCCCGTGCCAGCTATTCCCAGATCGCTGAACCTGTACGATTCCAAAATGAACTCGTTGATCAACCTGACAGGTGGTGACCCAAACACAACGCGGGCTTCTTGGGGCTCTGCTGTTATTGAAGGGCACCAGCACTACGATCAAGGCCGTCTGATGCTTTCGTTTGAAAAGCCTGTTGGCTTGCCTATGAGAACGACATGGCCAAAGTTGGGGTCGCACATTTGGCGAAGTGCTTCTCTTACTTTTTTCTTTCCCACGGACTTTTCATTTCGATCCGCGCACGGTCTCAGTGCACCTGCGAACTACGGAGTTGCGTTGGGCCGCAGCGGCTCAGCGAGCCGGCCGGCAGCTGGGCACAGGCGGGCACGCATCGTGCTAAACGTTTTGCCTTGGTGGTGCCTGCGCGCCAGAGGCATGGGGCGGTGATGGGTGGAGACCCAAGCAAAGTGGCACCAAGCGTGTTTCGCACGGCCGCAGTTAGCAGGCCCCACCACCGCCTGCACCAGCCCTGGGTGGCGGCGCCCCGTAGCGGAGCAGTGACTCATAGAGCACGCAGCGGACGAGCTGGCGACGAGTCGGAGCGACTCGTCGTTCCAACGCCCCACGCAAGCACGCACAGCCTCTGCGGTCTTCGCCGGTGGAGCTCGAGGTAGTGTTGCGGACGCCCGTACAGCACAGAGCCTCGCGGCGGCCGGCGTCCGAGCGAGCCACTGCTGCGGAACGACCTGGCCTACTGGCCCGACTGCTTTGCGCACGACCCGGATCCACGCGTGCTCCAGCGGCTTGGCTCGCCGGGAGAGCAGGCCGGTACGGGGGCAGGCAATATAATCATGTTAACCCTTGAATGCTTCCGA